GGATGGGATGGGATGGGATGGGATGGGATGGGATGGGATGGGATACAGGGATGGGATGGGATGGGATGGGATACAGGGATGGGATACAGGGATGGGATACAGGGATGGGATACAGGGATGGGATACAGGGATGGGATACAGGGATGGGATGGGATGGGATGGGATGTTCCCGTGTGTAACTCCCGGTTTTTCTGGGGAATTCCCGCAGCCCCCTGATGTTGAACGACAGCGGTTCAGCACATTCCATGCCCAAGTACAGCCGCCAGTATTCCCTGGAGCACGTCCATGGATCATCCCCCTACGCAGTGAGTGCTCCTGCAGCATTTGTGGGGTGGGAATACGGCCCTGGATTTGTGGGAATGGAACAAGGCCCTGGATTTGTGGGAATGGAACACGGCCCTGGATTTGTGGGAATGGAACAAGGCCCTGGATTTGTGGGAATGGAACACGGCCCTGGATTTGTGGGAATGGAACACGGCCCTGGATTTGTGGGAATGGAACACGGCCCTGGATTTGTGGGGATGGACAAGGCCCTGGATTTGGGGGGATGGACAAGGCCCTGGATTTGGGGGAATGGAACACGGCCCTGGATTTGGGGGAATAAATGAAGTGGTGCTGGGCTCATCCCTGCTCCCTGGATCCAGGGCTCGGATCCAGGACTTGGCTTTGGCACCAAAAGCCATCAGTGGCACCTGAAGGCCCTCCAGCTGCCTAATTAGGGGGTAATTAGCGCCATTCCCGCCAAAGGGGGCTGGGATTGGGCAGGGAAGGGTGTTTGGAGCCAGGTGGGAATTGTGGAGCAGAGCCTGGGCACGGGGTAATCCCAGAGCCAGCACGGCCTGGGCTGGGAAAGCCTCGGGATCAGAGCAGGGGATGGGGGGGGGGGGTCCTGCAAGATACTGGGAATTGTGGAATTCCAGGCTGGTTTGGGTGGGAATTCCTGAATTCCCATCCAGTTCCACCCTCGTGCCGTGGGCTGGTACGTCTGCAGCTGGATCAGGTTATTCCAAGCTCCATCCAGCCTGGCCTGGGACACTCCCAGGGATCCACTCTGGGAATTCCAGCCCAGCCAGGAATCCCTTCCCAATCTCCCCCCTAACCCTGGGCAGCCATTCCCTGGGTGCTGTCCCTCCAGCCCTCATCCCAAATCCCTCTCCAGCTCTCCTGGAGCCCCTTCAGGCCCTGCAAGGTTCTCCAAGGTCTCCCTGGATCCTTCCCTTCTCCAGGGGAACATTCCCAGCTCTCCCAGCCCAGCTCCATCCTCCATTCCCCAGATCCTCTGGCACTGCTGTATTCCAGGAGCAGAACATTCCAGCTGGGAACATCCTGGGCTTTTCACATGAGCTGATCCTGCAGGTTCAGGATTCCAGCTGATCCCAGGGCTGATCCTGCCTGGGAATATCCCATCCAGGCCCAGGGGTTGAGCCTCTGGCTCTCCCATCCTGAATCCCCGGAGCCCCAAGGTGATCCTGGCGGATTTAGGAGCAGAATCCCGGAATAGCTGAGCCCATCCCAGCCCCCTCCAGGCTCAGCCCACCCCCGGAGCCGCTCTCTGATCCCATTCCAGTTCCCTACATCCTCTGATCTTCCCTCAGAGCCCTTCCAGGAGCCCGGGATTGTCCCACTGATGGGAATCACAGGTGGCCCTCCTTTCCCAGCCTGGACTGGGGGGGGGGGGTGGGATGGAATTTCAGCTCCAGAGGGAACTGGGAAAGGGGAGTTGGGAGCTGCCAGTGAGAGGGGAGGGGCTGCTGGCACTTCCCGAGGCTCTGGGGATCAAATCAGTGCTGTATTCCCAAAAAAACAGCTCGGTGTGGGGATGGGATGGATCCCCTGGACCCCATCCAGCCTGTCCTGGCTGCTCCAAGTGCAGCCCCGGACCGGGACAAACCCAAAAGCTGGGATTGGGAACAGGGAATGATCCAGCATTCCAGGGCTGTGGGATGTGTGCCCAGCTGGCACCAAACATGGAATGGCTGGGGTGGGAAAGGACCTTGGGGATCATCCATCCCCACCCCACCCCTCCCACCATCCCAGGGGGATCCAGCCTGGCCTGGGACACTCCCAGGGATCCAGGGGCAGCCACAGCTTCTCTGGGAATTCCAGCCCAGCCCCTCCCCACCCTCCCAGCCAGGAATCCCTTCCCAATCTCCCCCCTAACCCTGGGCAGCCATTCCCTGGGTGCTGTCCCTCCAGCCCTCATCCCAAATCCCTCTCCAGCTCTCCTGGAGCCCCTTCAGGCCCTGCAAGGTTCTCCAAGGTCTCCCTGGATCCTTCCCTTCTCCAGGGGAACATTCCCAGCTCTCCCAGCCTGGCTCCAGAGGGGCTCCAGCCCTGGGAGCATCTCCATGTCCCCTCTGGACTCTCTCCAGCAGCTCCAGGTCCCTCAGGAATGTTGGGAAGGGCTGCAGGGGGGGTCTCACTGAGGGTGCAGAGGGACAGAATTCCCACTTTCCCCACTGCCCACGCCGTGGGCTCAGCCCAGGACACGGGGAGGGGTGTGGATCCCAAATCCATATGGATCCCAGCCCCATATGGATCCCAGCTCTGTATGGATCCCAGCTCTGTATGGATCCCAGCTCCATGTGGATCCCAGCCCCGTATGGATCCCAGCCCCATATCCCTGTGTCCCCTCATTCCCGAGGGTTTCCCTGCGGGGGGATCCCGGGGCTGTCCCTGGGGGGTTGGGAAAGGTGGGGCCGGATGAGCCGATCCCGAGGTTTGGAGCACAGGGAATGTTGGGAAGGAGGGATTGGGCTGTTCCCACATTCCCATTGGAATTCCAGCACCCCTGGAGTTCCCTGGAGTGACCCCGAGGGGGTTCAGGGCCTTGGACCCCAGTTGGGGTGGGTATCCAAAGGCAGCAGTTCCTGGAATTCTCTGTATTCCTGGAATTCCCTGGCCCTTGTGTTTGGATTCTGAGCAAAGGAGGGTTTTAGTGGGAAATAAATAACTGAATAAAAATAATATTTTATTTTTAAATCTATTTATATATAATATAAATATAATTTAAATATATTTATATAGATAAATTTAAATATATTTTTATATAATATATATTATTTAATATAGTATATATTATTTAATACATTTTAAAATAATAAAATATTAAATAATAAAATAAATAAAATAATAAAAATAAAAATATAAATTATTTAAAAATAAATTTAAAATAACGAAATAAAATTAAAATAAAATAAAAATTAACAAAAGGCTAGTGAAAATAATAAAATAGTGCATGGATAAAAATTTATCTGTTATAAAACAATAAAGATCAAAATAAAATTATTAGAGTTAATTAGCGAATTAAAAAAAAAAGGTATTGGAATAATAGGAATAAAGTCAGTAAATGAAACAAATAACAATTGAATATCATAAAAGTAAAACAATAAACAATTAAATATTATAGAAATAATGATAAAAATGAAATAATAAGAAAATAATAAGTAAAAATCACTTTATTTTACAAATAATGAAAGTAAAAGAAAACAAGAAATAAATAAATTAAGATATAAATAATTAAAAGGCATTTTCGGGGAAAGGGAAAATCTGGGCTTCCAAAATCCAGGAGGGAACAATCCCAAAAAAGAATCCAACCTTTTGCTCTTTAAATTCCGTGATTTCCTTGGAAGTGGATTTTGTGGGGTCAGGAATGGGGGGTTATCCGGGTTTATTTTGGGGTTTAAATTACAGGTTTGGGGGCATCGGGGGGGGGTCCAACCCCCCCTCCCTCCTTGGGATTTTGGGATCCCATCCCTGCCTTCCTTCTGGGATTTGGGGATTCCCACCCCCACCTTCCCTGGGATTTCGGGACCCCACTCTGGGATTTTGGGATCCCACCCCTCCTCCCTCCTTGGGATTTTGGGATTTTGGGATGCCCGTGTCTCCTTCCCTGGGATTTTGGGTTCTCACCCCCCTTGGAATGTCGGGATCCCACCCCTCCCTCCTCCTCCATGGAATCCTGGCATGCCTGTCCCTCCCTCCCTCCTCGGGATTTTGGGATCCCACTCTGGGATTTTGGGTTCCCACCCCACCTCCCTCCTTAGGATTTTGGGGTCCCATCCCTTCCTTCTTCCCTGGGATTTTGGGATGTCTGTGTCTCCTTCCCTGGGATTTTGGGATCCCACTCTGGGATTTTGGGATCCCACCTCTCCTGCCCCTTGGAACCCCCGTGGAATTCTTCTTCCCTGGGATTTTGGGATCCCACCCTTCATTCCTCGTTGGGATTTTGGGATGTCTGTGTGTCCTTCCCTGGGATTTCGGGACCCCACTCTGGGATTTTGGGCCACACCCCACCTTCTTGGGATTTTGGGATCCCACTCTGGGATTTTGGGCTCCCACTCCTTCCTCCCTCCTTGGGATTTTGGGATATCCATGCTTCCTTCCCTGGGATTTTGGGATCCCACTCTGGGATTTTGGGATCCCACCTCTCCTGCCCCTTGGAATCCCCGTGGAATTCTTCTTCCCTGGGATTTTGGGATCCCACCCCACCTCCTTCCTTGGGATTTTGGGATTCCATCCCTTCCTCCTTCCCTGGGATTTTGGGATCCCACCTCCACCTTCTTCCCTGGGGATTTTGGGATCCCGCCGTCCTCTCCCACCCCTTGGACCCCCCCACCATGGAATTCCAAACCCCCCTTTTTCCTTGTCATTCCAGGCCTCCTCCCCCGCCTACAGCGGCTCCAACCTGTATTCCCCGGATTCCTCGGCCAATTCCGGCCCCATCATCTCCGACGTCACCGAGCTGGCCCCGTCCAGCCCCTCGGCCTCTCCCAGCGGGAGCCTGGACGGAAGGTGGGGGGATCCCTCCCATTCCCCATTCCCAGAAATTTCCCCCCCCTGGGTTGGGTTTGTTGGGTTTTAATTCTGTATTCCAAGCGGAATTCCCTCCTCCCGTGTTCCCCCCCACACCCCCAGAGGGTCCCACTGAACCCTCCGGGTTCAGTGGGACCCTCTGGGGGTGTGGGGGGAACACAGGTGGCTTCCCACGAGGATGCTGCTCCACCCTATGGAATATTTATTGGACACTCCCAGGGATCCAGGGGCAGCCACAGCTTCCCTGGGAATTCCAGCCCAGCCCCTCCCCACCCTCCCAGCCAGGAATCCCTTCCCAATCTCCCCCCTAACCCTGGGCAGCCATTCCCTGGGTGCTGTCCCTCCAGCCCTCATCCCAAATCCCTCTCCAGCTCTCCTGGAGCCCCTTCAGGCCCTGCAAGGTTCTCCAAGGTTTCCCTGGATCCTTCCCTTCTCCAGGAGAACCCCCCCCCCCCCAATTCCCTCATCCCTGAGTTCCCAGACCATTCCCTTGGAGCGAAGAATTCCTTCCTCCCATCCTGTGGTCCCGGTGTCCCTGAGGAGCATTCCTGGTGTCCCTGAGGATTCCCATTGTCCCTGAGGAGCATTCCCGCTGTCCATCCCGAGGATCATTCCCACTGTCCCTGAGGAGCATTCCCGCTGTCCCTGAGGATTCCCATTGTCCCTGAGGAGCATTCCCAGTGTCACTCCCGCTGTCCCCGAGGATCATTCCCGCTCTCCCTCCCGAGGATCATTCCCATTGTCCCTGAGGATCATTCCTGCTGTCCCTGAGGATCATTCCCATTGTCCCTGAGGAGCATTCCCGCTGTCCCTGAGGACATTCCCTCTGTCCCTGAGGATCATTCCCATTGTCCCTGAGGAGCATTCCTGCTGTCCCTAAAGACATTCCCACTGAGTATCATTCCCACTCTCCCTGAGGATCATTCCCGCTCTCCCTGAGGATCATTCCCACTCTCCCTGAGGATCATTCCCGCTCTCCCTGAGGATCATTCCCACTCTCCCTGAGGATCATTCCCACTCTCCCTGAGGATCATTCCCACTCTCCCTGAGGATCATTCCCACTCTCCCTGAGGATCATTCCCGCTCTCCCTCCCGCAGGAGCAGCCCGTCGGTGCGGATCAAGGAGGAGCCGCCCAGCCCCGAGCGGAGCCCACGGGTGGAGGAGCCGGGCGTGGGGGGCGCGGGGGGCGCGGGGGGCGCGGGGGGCGCGGGGGGCACGGCCGAGACGCCGCTGTCGCCCTCCACCTTCATCGACGCCATCCTGCGGGACAGCGACCCCCCCGCGCCCGCCGACGGCCCCGCCGCGCCCCCCGCCCACGACAAGTGCCTCAGCGTCGCCTGCCTCGACAAGTGAGTGCCGGGACGGCCTGGAATGGCCACCATTCCCGCCGGGAATGCTCGGGGAGACACCTCTGGAAGCGGAGCCGGGGGTCTGTCCCGGCAGTGACCCCATATGGGGGGGGGTGATTCCCACTGCCATCCCTGCTGCCATCCCCACTGCCATTCCCACTGCCATTCCCTCTGCCATCCCCACTGCCATTCCCACTGCC